AGGCATTATTTAAAACAAGAAAAAGAACCGTTAAATGACGTCCAAAAAATATAAAACGATCGTGAACCGCCTGATATTTGTCTCAATATTGTTGGGAAAGAGTTTGATATTGTAAGGCCCATCGTAGTTTCAAATCGTTCCCCTATTTCTAAAGCAGTCCATCATCCGGGCCGCGAGCCCAAATTTGGGAACGCTCTCGTACACTGGCGCTGCAAGCGTTCCTTATTATGGGAACGGCGTACCCAAAATTGGGAACGATTTCACCGACGCCTTTCAGGGGCTCTTTTCATTAAATGCGCCGAATCTCGATTCCGGCCAAACATGGTCTCGAAAAGTAGGTCACATGTCAAAAGTCATCTGGTTCAGGGTCATGAAGTTTTCAGGGTAGGTGTCGCGAGGGCACTGAAAGTTTTAAAGGGACCCTCCCACCTTCAAAAAAGTTAATGAATTGGCATGAAAGTGATGTCGCTCGGTTCAGAAAGAGCAAAAACGAATATCTACCAAATTTCATCGAAAAATATTCACCGGTTTTCAAGATATTAGACTTTTACTTTTGTTTACTTTTTGGGATCTCCGCTGTTCCTAGCGACTTTATTTGAAAGTGCGGCATTTGTTGCGCGCAAAGCAGCATATACCACCGCGTGCTACAAAACGTTTTAGTCAAACATTTAACGGACGTTCGAAAGCCTGATGACGTCATCAGATTCCCGTAATGGTTAAGAGATAGGGACCACGCTGGTCCCACCCTGCAAGTAAAGGGAAGAAATTTCTTGAACACCATAAAGCTGCGGGGGTTGCGACCGGGATAAATGGTGGTTTCTGAGCCTGGCCGCAAACTTGGCTATCTCAACTCAAAACTAATGTTAAGGTGGGAGGGTCCCTTTAACAAGCATCACGTCCAACGCCGCAAAAACGCAACAATCATCAGATGACCTTTCCGGCAAGACCGTCGCATGTTTCGCCCGGTCTTCTGCGCTTTTATTCCCGTCGATCTCGCAGCGGGCACGCCCCCCTCTGCAGGATTACGTAATTCACAACGCTCAGCGATGTTCAACAAGGTCTTCCATACCTATATCCACCGTCCGCGCCGAGGGTGGAGACATGTCAAGCACCTGTCTGTTTATCACCGATAGTTGACGAGCACAAGGAAGTATCCAAAAATGGGAACGCTGAATATGTTCCACCCTCAAAACACCTAGTCCCAATGAAAATCTAGTTTTTTCCTTTCTTGATGAGTGTAAGTGGCAAAAGGCCTGGTAGGATGGGCACGAGGAATGATCGAAATCAGCATACAAATTATAAATAAGCCACACAGAGCGACCTATATAAGAGAAATTCCCCCAAAACGATCACGCTTAGAAACACGGAAGACAAAAACCACGCTCATGACGCTCCTTATAAAATAACTCTAAACAGCTAGCATCCATATAAAATATGTCTTTCTGGGATGATAAAATACAGCTGAATAATTTTAAACCACTGAAACTGAGTTTACAACAGTAGTTCGGTAAAATCACTGACGTTCCATGCGGTCGTGCGCCCCGACACCAAATGTCACCAATATTACCCCCAGACTGTCCGCGTGTTCGCTTGCATATGTCAGCATCTGGTGTCGCTAGTATGAAACTTCATAACCAGGCGAAAATTATCATACTTGACCTCAAAATGTAAAAAACGCTTCATTTTCCTTAAAATTGCAAGTTAAATGTAGTATAACCCATGTTTTCACTATTCCGTCACTTCAAAAAATCATTAAAAATATCATTCGACGGTCAATTTCCTTGTGCAACGGTCAGATTAAAGATAATTTTATAGAGACTTAGTAGATACTTAAATTAGCGTGCACTTTTTTGAAACGTGATGCACTAATGAGTTTTAGTGGGCGAACGGCCGAAAAATTACCTTCCGTTCCCATAAATGGGAACGCCCGTTCCCATATTTGGGAACTCCGTTCCCAAAAATGGGAACGTTCCTATATTTGGGTACTCATGACCATAGTTCCACCTACTGACCTTTGTCTTGGACTCTTATCCTATCTTTTCTCGAAAATGCTTGCCATAACCAGGTCTTAACTGTATCTGTATAAAGGGAATATGTGTTGAATATGAGGAGAAGGTAGTAATGACCATTCTGCCTATCAAACTGCCAGAAGGTGTGCTTGTAAGGTGATTGAAACTGCAGTACGGGTTGCAGATGTGGGTTTGACATTAGCATTGTTATTGAAACCCCACTTGCTCTAATAAAATGGCAACATGGGGTTATGTACCCACTATTGCACAGCCTGGTATCAAGCTGGTTGATATGTGGAGGATACTGAAAGCATAAACACTTTTCTTTAGTGAATAGGAGCGTTGCGTCTTGTGACTTACCTATGTCAAGTCATTTTAAATGAAATGATTGTGATTGTAACTTTTACTTCAATTATTATAATTGCTAGTTTTGACCTTTTTAATCATCAAGTTTTATGTGTACCAATTTCATATGCCTGTGTAATGTCTGTGCGGCTTTGTGCAGTGAGCGTGTCTTGAAACAAACCAATTTATTTTGTACCCTTTTTTACTTCAACAAATGTATGTCAAAGGACAAAAATGTCATGTCTATTATCATTGACACTACTACAGCTAACTTTGCCTATATTCCTATCTTTCAGAGGCATTCATCTGCTTTCCAGTGCAGTACCTAGGAGGCTGCAACTGAAACTCGCACAAAGGCAACCAAGTGTCACTTCATCAGCCTACAGTAACAGCCCATCTGTAATCAAGATATGGGTGAAGTGGCATAGAAGAACAACCAGTAAACATGAAAAGATGTATTTTGTTTTGAACTATTTCTTAGCATAACTGAACAGCAAAGTACACACTTACTGCTTTTTATGTTTGCCCTGTGTGCACTGTGCAGTTTTGAATTATTTTAACTATGAAATGCTTTTGCTAACTACTCTCTTTACATGAGCTTCCTTTGTCATGCCTGTGTAATTTTTAGTTTACATGCATGATGTAGGCATGTTAGCATGTATTTCCCTTGGCTTCATAAAACTACTTCCAAGCATTTGTTATGGACATTGGTGCTACCTATATATGATGCTTCAGATGTGTCCAGTAGTTAGTGAAGGGAGAAGAGTAGTAGGACAGCTGATAGGCTGATAGCTTTTACCAAAAATATGTGCTTGTCTGCACTTCGGGCTGTTCCATCATATGCAACCTCTATTTACTTCCTTGCGTTAGAAACACCCCATCTTTTGTTTCTTTCCTGTGCGCCCATTGTTTCCGTGGTGCTATAAACGTCAAGTTTGAAGTTGGTATCCAAGTGAACAAAATTTGCATTATTTCAGGCCGTCTTGAATCATTCGTCTTGAATTATATCCCTAACTGACATCCTGTTATTTGTCCTGCAATGTATGTGCCTGTGTCCGCCCTTACCTCCGGCTCCAGCCTCCAACCAGGCCTGCTGAGCTCTGTCGCCGGCGCGGTGTGTCGCAACGTGCTGTTTCTCCACTCCACCCGACAGCTGCTAGGAATCATCCTGTGCCATGCGCCATGCGACACAGCAATTGTAAGCTGCAGGTCACATTCGGAATGATTGGCTCCGCGTATGTGCATCCGGCCGGGTGCTAGTCGATATCAGGGACGTTGGTCGGACTGTTGTGGCGGCGTGCATTGTGCTGGTTGAAGTTGTTGTATTTCTGTTAGTGAAAAGCATTAATACATAACCGTGGCCGCAGCCCAATGTTATTGTGGATTTCAGAGGGAGTGGCCAGTCAGGAGGGCCCCATGTGGGTACCTATAGATCCAGTGTCCAGTGGGATTGGCTAAGATTTCCGGCGATTGATAAACGCTTCTATGATAGTAAACCTATTGAGTTATGAGGGGAGGTCACGTGAGGGACCTGACCTTACTAAACTCTTGTGAAAACACAACACATACGAACGGTAAGAAACCGACAGCTCTTCTTTCTGCCAAGTGTCATCTTTCTGTGAAGGATTTCTTGGCACTGAGTGTCCAGAAATTGCGTTGCTTTTGGACTGTGTAGAGGCTCACGAGCGATAACATAGGTCAACAACCTGACGTACCTTAAATATGCGACTTGTACCAGAAGATCCAGCTTGATCAAAAGATTGTACACGTCAAATTTCAGCTCTTTAGCTCAAAAGAATTTTGAGTTATCGTAAAAACCGTCAGTGTGGCACCGTATCGCTTCCCCGCGCGGTCGGAAGGTAAAAGTTCGCCGGCTTTAACTAAACAAATAGTCGTCGTATCGCAAATTCATTGACGGCGTTCGAAGCGTCGTTCAATTTACTTTCGAAACATATCCTAACATTAACATTTATCTGCCTAGCGCAATCTCCAACAAGCAAAAGTTCCGTGCATGCATCCTCATACAGTGTTAGCGGCCGCCGGCCGCCGGCCGCTGACCCACATTCGCGTCATCAGGGAATGCCGCAACTAATTTATTGTTTCCAACTTTTTTCCCGGAGCGTTCTACCTGGTTTATATAGCCTTGGGCGCGTAGCAAAAACACACCTCGAAAGTGAAAGGACACACTGCAGCAGTGCAAAACGTCAACACGGGAAAGTCCGCTGACCACGAATGAAACTGCCACGCCGTTTTTGTCGTAAAGGACTATTGCTTCCAAATCCCTCAGCAACGTTTTCCTTCACTCTTTCAGCAATTTTGACACGAAGCGTTCAATATATAGCGATGATTGAATGAAATAATGAGGTTCAGCACCGAATGTTTTTTCAATCAACGCAAAATATGTTGCTGTGTGTCCTTAGTCTTTTGATTATGAGTAAATTGGAATGATGATCAACGTTGAACGTGGTATGCATATTGTAGCGGCGTAAATCAATGTTCCAATCCAACTGCCAACCGACATGTTCTAAAAACTCAAAAGGAAAAACATCGACGTTTCCACATTTTTCGACGAAGATCCACTAGGCTGCAGGACAAAACCTGAGTGATACGTACCAGGGTGCAGGTTCCCTAAAAAATAACCACATGCATTAGCTGATTTTATTGTGACGCTTCTGCGATTGACGATCACACGTTACACGAAACACTGAACGAAGAGCATTAATGTTGCACAAGCCTAGTGGTGAACAAGTCAGAGAAATCATTAGAACGCGGCGGATCACGGTGCATTGTCTCCTCTTGAGGGAGGAGGGCCGAGTCGTAAGGCACGAGCGCGCTCAGCCTTTGAGGGATGAGAGGCCGGCACGCATGATCTCGTCCACCAATAGGAGGTTGCCGGCGATCACCGAGCTGAAAAACGAGCCAATCAGGTGTCAGTACTCAGCAGTGAGGTAACGATGACCAGCAACGCGTGATCAACGATCAAAGACCGTTGAGGGATGGAACGGAAGTTTAACGAATGTCGGGCGAATAGACATTTTGTAAGCTGCAAATTGCAATGCAATGTGCGACTCCCCGATCATCACGCACAAAATGTCAATCATTTCGTTTTAAAAGAACCACAACAGGTTATTAAAAAAAAAATCCGCCAATAAGAATCCCCTCCGCTCCCCGTTTCTCCTCTTTGTTTATTGGGGCTTTAGGGCGCGCCGACTGCAAAGGTCATTTTGCGCCCATCTCCCCGTTTCTCCCCTGATCTCTCAACTCACCAGGAGTTGATCATCTGGTGTTTGACGCAGTAGTTGTCGAGGATGCCGGCGTCGGCCGGCACCAGGGCCTCGCCGCTGGCGATGTCGATACCGACCGGCACGCCGGCCGCCGCGTACTCCTCCTGCAGCTTCACAATCGTGTCCTGGAGATAAGACAGCGGGCGGTTTAGGCACGCGAAAAGACGGCAGGGTACACAAGTCTCGCTGATTTCGCTCAATGCCGCGCTGTCACCCAGCTAAAGTGTTGCTAACCACCAACCGGGTAGAATCAGGCACATGTCACCAGATCGTACTCTCATGGCGCCTCTCCATCCACGTTTTTTCTTCACTCTCTTCACATTCGTTTTCCTTTTCCACTCCAACCCTTCCACCTTTCCGCCTCTCCCACTAATTACTCTCGTAGGTGTTCTCTTTCTTCCTCCACTCTAGCCCTTCTTTCCCTCTCCTCCCCTCAGGGCAAAATTTTCCAGTCTCCTCTTCCCTTCCCCCAAACTTAACTTCCCTCCCCTCCCCTTCCCACACCTCTCACCTGAGCATCATATCCAGCATTGACCGCCAGTGTCTTGGGGATGATGAGCAGCGCATCAGCAAACGCCTGGACGCCGAGCCGGGCCCTGCCGCGCACCTCCTGACGATACTTCATCAGCGCCGCGTGCGCAGCCACCTCGAACGCGCCGGCGCCTGGCACCACCGAGCCGTCATCGATGGCGTTCTTGATGGCGCGCAGGCCGTCACGGATGGCGTCCTGGCGAGGGGGAGCGGCGGAGTTATGCGTTATAGGAGGTCCATACTCACTTTGGAAGAGGACCTGGATGGTGATATGTCGATGCTGATTCGAAGCGTATGAGGTGCTGACGGCCTCACGATAACGATTTCTATTCGTATTTAAAGCAAAGGGTGACTTATCATTATACCATGCTGTTATCGTGAGGCAGAGTTCTGCGTCTTGCGTGCACGAGCACTTTTCTTTACCTGTTACAGACAAACTTGCGGTAGAAATCACCGCACATTAGAAGCATTTGTTAAGATTTGCCACAAACGAAGCTCCACCACCCTCACAAAAAAACATCCTGCGACAGCTCGCCAGGCTGTAATCATAGCCTCCAACCCACCTTGAACTGTTCGAGGGTGTATTTGTTGGGCGCCCTGGTCAGAATGGTCACCGACTGCGGGTTCTTGCACTCCTCGACGAACGTGAACTTCTGCTCGCCCTGCGGAAATGCGCAGACGAGGGCGTTAGTGATGCTCTTTGTGCTGCAGATCGGAAGGAGATATACTGGGTGGTGCTAAACAGTGTTGGGTCGGTGATACTTCTAGCTAGGCTGACAAGGAGCAGCAACGCTCCTTGCTGAAACTTCACTCTCCATTCTCCACCAGAGAAATAACATACTCTTGTCTGCCTTCGGCTGATTAATCTCACTCCCAGCAACCGAATTGACCTTCGTCAAGTCAGAATGCAGCACTCATCCACTTCGCCTCAATCTTGCTACGGCCTACTGTACACACCAACTCATCACCATTTCCGCACCGACTCGTCACCAATTACTCAGCACCATTCAACCACCGTCCACCATTATTCTCCTCGCCACTCACCAGCACATGTTCGTAGACAACTCCGGCGTATCCGAGACACTCCTCCGACAGATCGTCCAGACAGTTCATGGCCATTCCGCCGCAGGCCAGAGCCAGGCGCTCCATGTTGCGGCGCTTGGCGCGGCGCAGAGCGACAATTCCGGCGCGCGCCAGCATGTCCAGGGACACGGGGTCGATTCCTGTAAAGGGAGAGGAGGACGGGAAGGTAAGAGAAACGTGACAGGGATATAGAGAGTCGAGAGAGAACCCATGCATAGAAACAGGATGGGGTTTTGCAAAGGACATGCGTGATTCCATCTGAGCCATTATGACAGCGCATGTCATCTTATTAAGTGAAATAGAGATGCAATTAAGTCTGCCAATAGGTGACGCCAACATTATGGTTCTTAATTTCACATAATACATTGTAGCTAAAAACGAAACTAACAGCCGGCTAACAAGCTCTAAGAAGAGTGATACGCCGCACTCCGGAAGATTAGCTCTCTAACTCTTCGCCATACCATGTATCTTCGGCACTCACCCTTCTGGTTGATAACGACGAAGCCCTTGTTGGTGCCGTCACACAGCTTCTTCTTCAGCTCGATGACCTTGCGCACGCGGTTGTCAATGAACTCTCGCTCAGCCTTGACCAGCTTCTCCCGCTCCTCGGCAGTCTTGTAGAAGAAACCAGAGTTCACCTCGCTGTCGGGCGGAGGGGCACGGTAAATTGGGAGATTTAGAAAATGTTGGGTAGGATATTATCCTAATATTTCATTTAAATTTAAAAAAAGATGAGGGTCGAGACGGTTTTATGAGGGTAGCGAGTGAGAACGCTGCTAAATTGTCTTATACGATGAGCCAGATGGGTCTCTGGTACAAATGGAAACGCCTTGAGGGGAGTATAGCGAGGGTAGAGGATAGATTTTACTGTAGATCTCTAGAGCTGAGCGTCTCGGTTACAAAAAGAGCCACGGTCCACAGACGATCACTGGCACGATAACCCGGGAAAATAGCCAAAACACGGGAAGGACATGACAGTCCATAAAAAGTATATCGTGGCTAGCTAGCTGCTAGCTAGCGCAAGGGTTGATAACGGTTCAAAGGGTCAGGAAGGAGGAGCATCACTGAGCACAATTGTTATTATTCTCGTTTCCATAATAGCTCCAGCCTCGGCCGCCACTCACGTTTTCTCATACTCCATGCTGACGTTGCAGGTGAGGATGTAGGCGTTCTCTGTGCGTTTCGGCATGTCCGGGTGGCGCGCGCCGTGGTCCATGACGATGCCTCGTACCAGCTGACTGTCGCTCTCCGAGCGGTGCTGCATCTCCATCAGCTCGATCATGTGCAGGTCCACCTGGCCAGACGGAGGGCGGATCGCCAGCACCGCGTCCACGCAGATCTGACGGGGAAGGGGGAGGGCAGTCAGAAACACGTCCAAGGAAATATGGGAGAGGGGAGCGGGAGGGATTAGGTAATAGGTATCTACGCAGACGAGAATGGGCAGGATAGGGTGGTCAGGAATGAGTTTGTGCAAATCTGAGGATGGGTATGGAGGTAAGTTGGAAAGATTATCAGTTAACCTAAAAGCAAAACAGCACAAGATTGAAGACGAACATCAACAAAATAAGAAACACAAGATAAGAAAACGAAAAAGAGACCTAAGCAATACGACGTGTTATACCGACCATACACCGACCACATATTCCCAAAATACCCTAATTGAAACACCCATACCCTCCTTACCGACCACCTTATCTCCCCCACCCACCTCAGTGAACTGCTGAGCCTGCTCGTGGTGGATCTTGGTCATCAGGCTGGAGCGTGCCACGTTCAGCAGCACGTCCCGCGTCACCTCCTGCGTCAGCTTCAGCTCCTCCAGCACCTGCAGGGTCCGCTGCTTGGCCAGGTCGAAACCCTCCGTCACCACGCGCGGGTGCAGGCCCTGTCACCGGAGAGGGTGGGTTCAGCTGTGAAGGGCGATTTTGTTTAAAAGGCGGCTTATCTTTATGAATGCTGACTTATTTGAGCGAGTAAATCGATGAGATTACCTACTGATGCGTATGATATGACTTTCAATGTTTCTTTAGATGGATTTCTTTCATAATACTGCCTTTTTTCACCGCTCATTCAGCGAAACCATCTTAAGTTCGAAATCAATGGGCTGATTTATTTGGGCGGCTCGCTGATGACTCACCTGCTTCAGCAGCTCGTCTGTCTAAAAAGAAAACAACTAAACTATTAAAAAAAAAAAAACACCAACTCACCCACAGATCCAACTGCTAACTAATCCAACGAACTCACCTCGGAGATGTAGAGATCGGCCTGTTTGAGCAGCTCGCCAATCAGCATCACCGTGGAGGTGGTGCCGTCACCGGTGACGTCATCCTGGGCGGTGGACGCGCGCGCGATCAGCGACGCCGTCGGGTGCTGGATTTGCTGTCGGTCAAAAGGGAGATAGCGTTAGCTGGTGCTGATTTAATGCAGAGTGAAATCTAGATTCAAGCCCGATCTTTTGACACCAACCGCATTTTCGGGTCAGGTCAGGTCACTGACCTATGACGTCATAAGTGAACCTCTGCACGGTCTTCAGATGTCGCAACTTCGCAACGCCCTCACTGCCAGAGGAGCTTTCACAGGGAATTGAAACTTGCAGGATCTAGTATCCATTACGAGTCTCACAGCTTGTATATCTCAGATTTTTCCTAAAGGTCATATGAGGTCAGGTCATTTTCATGACCTCACCATTATAAGTCAATGGGGAAAAATAAAAACTGCTATTCTGGCGCCGGGAACGACCTCCAACTATCTCAAGCACACAGAATCGTGATTTAATGCACTCCTTGCAAGGTTAGATGCGTCACTTTTGCAATGTTGATCTTGCGTGACGTCATTTATGACGTCATCAAGGTCATATTAGTTTTTCGTCAATAACTCCCGATCAAATTGAGCTAGCGAGTCGGGAAAGCCACCAATGGACTCAGGAAGACCTGCCGAATCGAATGATATGCGACATGACCTCTTTCGACCAACGACGTGACCTGGGGGCGCTGACCTGACCGTGACCTGAGGTCAGCACCCAAAGTTGACCTGACCCAAACAAAAAGTATATTATTCGGCGCGCCTGAGCCAGGCGAACACGATGCTGCCAAAACCGCGGCTCTTCGGCCGTTTTTTGCGATGTTATTCACCAAAAACTGAACCGTACCTTGGGACACTTGACCTGACCTCAGAGGTCACCGGTTGACCTAGGACCTTAAAATCGGGTACCAATCTCTGCGTCTCGTAACGGCGCACACTCGTTTTTCCGCGACGCGCTAGCTCCACCAGGGGCGAAACAGCGAGGGGTCGTACCCGCCCACCTCCTCGGCCGGCGCGTATGTCGAAAACCAATAGGTCCGGCGAGGGTTAACTAGCTGTGGGGGGTGGGGGGTCACTAGCAGCTTGCTGATTACAGCTCTCTGAATGAAACATTTTTTTGTGAACTTAGCTCACTGGCAACAATACTGTGCTTTGCTTTATGTGACTGACTTTTTTGCTTATGGGGCTGCTTTAATTGCAGCATATTCACTACATGAGGGATCACAAGTCACATGAGGAAATAAAATAAGATATACTTACATTTGTAAGGACATGTTGATAAAACATACTTAGAAGAGCTTGACTATCTGCCTCAGCTGGCTAAAAAATAATGGTGGTAACTATGCATCAAAATTCAGTGAAGTACCTACATTGAATAAAATTGAAGAAATAGATACCTACAAACAAAAAATGTTAAACATGTAACAAATGGATGCCACAAATATGTTTATTTAACACCTTCAAGAGTCAAGACTTTTTATCACATTTGAAGAGCTGTAAAAGTGACTTACCATTTCATGAAGAAGAATGTTGCCATCTTTGGTGATTTTGATGTCCCCAGAACCAGAGACCAGCCTGAAAAAAGATCATATGAATGTATGTAAGTATGTATGTATTTACGATCATGGGCGATCCACACATGGCGTGGCGATTACTGCCCAGCCATGAACCATGAACCAAAAACAATAGCCACGGAATATTAACTGAAACAGTTACATGAAAGTACACATAGCTTATTTCCAGTCCATGTATGATACTATTTTTTACTGAAAGCAGGTATCACAAAATACCTAAAGAATAGGTAGGTGGGTACCTACCAATTTCACCAAACTAATTCCCTGGACCATGTACATGGCCCACTTATCACTACCAACAGAACAGTGGATCATTTGTTTCAGCATACCAAGGCTTTCTCGTGATTTTTGCATCCATGCATTCTTTTTTAGACCTTGCATTGTTGAAAATATATTTAAAGTATTCAAATATGGTTTTATACTTTCACCAAGCATTGATCCCCACTAACAACCTTTGCACCATCATGGAAGGAAGATAATGGCATAAGCACTGTAGAAAAACACGGAACACATAGTGCCTGGATGCGCATGAACATGCATGTCATGCTGATGAAAATATAACAATCTAAACGCATCCATACACTGTTTGTTCCTAGTTCAGTTGGGCAAACTAGACTTTTGGAATCAAAATATGGAGGCATCAATAATTTGATTCTGGTGGGAGGAGCCATGACCAAATATGGGCATGAAATCAATTTTTTGATTCATTTGGGTACACTTTTGACTTCAAGTGTATCGTTACGGCTGAAAAAAGGCCCATGACGGTGAGATTTTTCTTTAAAAAGGTAGAAAAATGTGGTAGGTTTCCAAAAAGTGTTACCTCAAAACTAAGTAATTGTCCCTTTGGCCTTGTGAATGGGAAAAAGACAGAGCCACTGTCCATCACGTAAAAGCTGTTTTGAGGAAATCACACTGTATGCTATTTTTGTGTGGTGAATCGCATACTAAACAATCAGTATTTGTGTAAAATGGCAAAATGAAATTTTAAAACCCCTAATTATCATTGTTGTAGTGCTTTTATATTTATTATATGGTTTTTACCTGTTACTTCAGTTTTTGTATTTTTGACATTTAAAAATTGCGAATTGTTATCAAATGTAGTGAAGGTTAAGTACAACAATGCTATAGGTATCTGTTGTGGTGCTGAGGATACCACTAAATGAGAATAATAGCAAGATAAATGATGTATTTCTGCAAATCATTGTTCCCTATCTCTTAACATTACCTGTGAATCAAAATAATGATTAGCCAGCTGATGGGAAATCAATATTATGATTATCTGTTTAAAGTGAATCAATTCCTTGATTGCCTTTCACTACCTATAGAATTCAAATTGTTATGATAGGAGCAATATTATTTTGCTTAGGAGATAGTTCCAGCATTTCTCTTCAAGATCAGGCATGCTCCTTCTTGAAACACTATCTTATTTTTATGTGATTGGTAAGTTAGAAATGGTCTGCATTTATGCCCAAATATGGTCATAAGGAATCAATCTTTTGATGCCTCCATATTTTGATTCCAAAGGTCTAGTTTGCCCAACTGAGTTTTTCTACTTATCCCTATCAATATAGAATTGTCAGGCATAAACACTGTTCTTACACAGACACTTATCAATAGAACATGCTTCAAGAAAGAACAGATACTTACATTTTCATTGTACCCTTTGGTCCCAAATTCGTCTTGAGGACATCTTGAATACCCTTGGCAGCAGAGATGTTGATAGCTAGGGCCTGTGCAGCCCGTGCGACCTCAGCTTTAGGATTTAGAGTGGTGATGGCCGACATTTCTAGTCGGTAATTAGTAACTTACTATAATCCCTGTCCAAAAATACAACACGAAACCACCTATCCGCCTGAAAGCAAACCCGTGCCTCTATCACGCTTGGATCACGCGCAGGAAGCCGCGCCCGGCTCAGTCGTAAAGTTTAGTGCATGTATTCTTCAACTTAGCAATCAGTATTGACGTCATCAAAATAGTAATCGGCCTTTTAACAGGTGCTTAATGATTTTGTGACGTCAATCATATTGATATCGTTTCAAAAATAATCCTGACAAAATGTCTCAGCTGCGTAATATTTGAAACATGGATAGAGAAGTAAATAGAGAATGGCGATTGGAATGTTCGCGATCCGAACATTTTTCTGAAATGGGTAAATATTTGAGTAAAAAGGTACTGAATAAAATTACTGGCTGACTCCTCTATAAATTCGTTTCAAGGTAAAGTGACATTGATAGACCATAAACTTCAACCTCGTTTGACCCACGTTCAGTGGCGGATCCAGAGGGGGGGGGGGGGGCATGGGCAAGATTACTTTACCACGGATCTTAGGTGATCTGTGACTTTATTAATATCCTCTAGCGACCCATGCACTAAGTGAGAAAGCTACAACGACAAAAACTTAAAAGGATATCAAGGGAGATGTAAATAGACCAAAAATGGTCTTCAAAAAATTATTTGAAAAATATTTTTCAAAATATGCCATGTATACACATCTATACGTTGGGTCTCAGTTCGTTGATTTGAGCCGTTCGATTTACCTACTTTCACAAATATATTGGTGACTGCCAACCACGTTTATTGCCACAGAACAGGTGAGTATCTTTCATCACTAGCAGGCGAACTTAAAATGCTCTCACAGCTAACAATCAGTTGCAGTGCTTTTACTGCAATGCTTATCAAGAAGATACCAGTAGGTACTATTTCGTCTGGATTCGCACGTCAAATCCTCCAGAAACGTCATCTCCCTTCCATTGCTACCGGTGGAACTTCATGAAGCAGTTCCTGTCAGACGTTCCTGCTTTCTACCGGAAGAGTCTCCGACAGCCGAAGCACCACAGCTTCTCCAAGGCCTACCCCAGGTCTGGCATCAGTGAGCATGCTGATCAGCTTCGACTTCCCCTGATCGATCTCGAAGTCGAGCATTAGGCCATTGTCACCCGCCAGTACCCAATTCTTCAGTCCAACAGGATTCGGCTTGTTGGGAACGTAGTGTTTCAGGCTGGTTGTACCGGTGAACGGGATCATCTGCTCGTCCACTGCCACGGCTTCAGGACGATCCAGCTGAAGACAGCGCTGCCGAATGGCGTCCAGCAGTGGTCGGATTTTCCACAGACGATCATTCTGTTTGTGGTCCTCGCTAACGCGATTATCATCGACCACCTTTAGATTGGCCCTGATGTTAACCCGGCGGCCGCTGGGCCTCCGCGCCACCCGCCGGCCGCTGGGGGGGGCATATAGTTGCCCCCCCTTTACTTCCACGGCGATATCGTCGCAACGCGAAGAGATAGAGAAACGAAACTTTGCACACATCTTCCTGAATACCTAGCCGAGGTTGTGTCCAAATTTGGTGTCGATCTTATTTGAAATGACGTCACAGTGACGTCATAAGTCAAATTATAGATTTGCGACTCTCAGTTTCCTCACGATACATCAGGTATATGGGACCGAATATAAAGGGCCGATTATGGGTTAGGAACTAGATGGAAGTGTACTTAGATGTTTTAGGATGACAGCAGGTGCTGTCTAGTTCATTTACAGTTGAGTTTCATGCTCAGCGTCATCAGAAACGGTCCATATCGGAAAACGACAAAACTTTATGACGTCACTGTGACGTCATCTTTGATGCTACAACCACCAAACTTTCTTCAAACATTGCCTAGGTATTCATTTGAAGCTATGCCAAGTTTCACGTTCGTAGCTCATCAGGTTTCGGAGATATTCCACAAAACGTAAAGGGGGGGCAACTTTATGCCCCCCCCCCCCCCAGCGGCTCGTGGGTTAAGAAGAACTTGTTTCTGTTCATTTGATCGGCAACCACTGGAAGACGATACTTCTCGCTCCAGTACATCCGAAGCCATGGGAACTTGATGACTGACGTGTAAAAACAGATGCCAAAGAACTTGAAGATGTCTCCTGGTGTGACATTAGGAGTCTTTCCCTGCTCTGCTAGGCGCTGGTTAGTACATGTTGCTATGACGGCAAGCAGATCACCAGATACGTATCGAAGAAACATCTCAAGCGGAAGCACTTTCTGCAGCTCAACTCTTCCCGTGCTTACTCCCATCTCCAAGAGACGCTGTGCCGGCTCTCCAAAATCGGCATTGAGTCTCCAGAACACTCTTCTGCTGGCAGGTGGATCGGACGTCTCTTCATCGGTTGCTGACAGCTCGTCGTTTGAGGATGGGCTGTCTTCGTTTTCGCCAGAGACGTTCATCGGTGCAGTTCCGGCCAAGTCATCTTAATCTTCCGAGAGCTCAATATCAGAGATGTCAAGGTTGTTCAGGATCTCACGCAGCTGTTCATCAGTTATTGCGGGAGGCCTCCGGCGGGCAGTTGCAGGACGTGTGGAACAGGAAGGACTCCCAGAACATCCTGGAATGGCAGGGATTGTAACCATGAGGGAAATTGGACGGATGGGCGGATGGACGGAGGCAGGGAGGGAGGGAGGGCGGGATGGAGGAGGGAGGGAGGGAGGGAGGGAGGGAGGGAGGGAGGGACGTAGGGATGGGGGTCGTAGGGATGGACGTTGCACGGGCGGACGGACGAACGAACGAACGAGCGAACGGACGGACGGACGGACGGACGAACGAACGAACGAACGAACAAACGAACGGACGAACAAACGAACGGACGAACGAACGGAGAGATAGAAGAGAGGAAGAAAGAGAGGAAATAGCGAGAGAATAGAAGAGAGAGAGAGAGAGAGAGAGAGAGAGAGAGAGAGAGAGAGAGAGAGAGAGAGAGAGAGAGAGAGAGAAGAGAGAGAGAGAGAGAGAGAGAGAGAGAGAGAGAGAGAGAGAGAGAGAGAGAGAGAGAGAGAGAGAGAGAGAGAGAGAGAGAGAGAGAGAGAGATCAAATATAACCCCCTAAAGACAGCATTCAGACCCAACGTATAGACACCTTGACATTGTGATTGATGACAGTATAGGAAGCAAGCCAATTAATTTAAACACACAGACAAGACACCAAATGAATCGTAATGGTTAGTTTTAAGTAATGCTACATGAAATCATTCTCAGCAATTAGTAAAAACATTTGAAAACAGCGTTTAACTAGCCTGTACTTCTTCCGCCGGTCGCCATAGTTCACAAAAAGGAAAATTGCGGACGTTTGCGAAGTACTAGTGCCAAAATTTCTCGCCAGGTGGCTAACAAATGGTAAAGAAACCCATACGCCCGGGATTAAGGTCAATGCTAAAAGTTTTCTTGTCGCTAAAAATTTGCAAAGTTGTGTATAGATATCTATACGGTGGGCCGCTGGAGGATATGGGGGCCACCGGCCATGCCCTCCCCCCCTTGAGCCTCCCGGGGGGCCCCATCAAGAAGTTTTTTTCTTGTTCTTCACGGAGGTTACCGACGGGAGCTTCAACCCAGAGGTCTCCTAAGCTGAAGCGGGCACCGTCTATCGGAATAGGGTAGGTACCGCTTTCGGGGTCTCCCGGAGGCCCATTTCTATCCCTCCGGCCTCGGGTGGGGCCATTTCCATCCCGAGGTCCGCGGGGGCACCATCTCGAGTTCTCCGGGGGCACTATCCCGAGTTCTCCGTGGGCACCATCCCAGGTTCGGAGGGGGCACCATCTCGGGGGTCCAGACTCCGGGGGCACCATCCCGAGGTCTCCGGGGACACCATCCCGAAGTCTGTCTCCGTGGGCACCAATCCGAGGTCTCGGGGGGCACCATTCCAAGTTTCTAGGGGCACCATTCCGAAATCCGAGGTCTGAAGGAGCACTCTCCCCGGTTCTGAGGGGGGGGGCACCATCCCGAGGTCTCAGGGCCCTCAGGGGCACCATCCCGAGGTCTCAGGGGCACCATCCTCCTGAGTAAGTGGCCGAAATGCGTGGATTTTATAGGGGGGGGGGCGCCAAATGCCAGGGGGCACCATAATACCGTCTGCCCCCTTGACTAAATCCTGGATCCGCCACTGCCTGCCCAAGTTTGACCCTTGGTTTGACCCAAGTTCAGGTCACGACGTGAGCCGTGCCAGTGCCACCAGAGAACTTCGCTATCAATTATCATTTATCATACTTATCTTACAGCACATTTCCTTGATATATTGCATCAGCCATGAGCCCATGAGAAGCTGTCAGTGTCATCAATTTATACTTGTCCTGTCTCGGGTTTTTGCATAAGCGTATGTGAGTCACAGTGAGTGACCCGGAGTCAGGTCAGCGTTTTGACGGCATTAAACATTCGACACCATGTAGAAGTTCGTGTGCGCGTCGCGATGAGAGAAACACGATGCTTGTAGGATTGGTGTAAAAGTTCAAGATTACTTCACGTAAAAGTTATTTCTGACAAATTTTTCCTGGTCACAAGCACCCTTCACCTAAATGTTGTGAATCGAAGTGATTAGTCTCTGCGCATTGACGAACTTGCATCAAAGCGCCATTGAGAACACGCCAGTATCGTCCTTGTATTACGGCCATCACTCATCCATCGATCGGTTCGCGACTGTCACCATCAAATGGCCGGCCACTGCTGAAATGCTACCGTCATTAAACACCGTGGAGGCCATAGTGGAGCTATTTGAGACGGGAACAGCGCCGAGGATCCGGCCATTTACCCGTGGGCATCGAGTGGAAACGCTTCGAGCGGAATACGTTCTATTCCGAAAGTGGGGTTCATATCATAGTTAGGTCATACGCAACCCATGTGGTTGTCTGGGAGCGCAGCGGCCTGTCGACAAGCGGAGCTCTTGCCTATAGCTATTCGCCGTGGAATTAGAGTCGGCTTGTATGTATAGCTAACTAACTTCCTGGGTGTTTAGTTCAGGCCCGGAACTGGCCCAGGACTCCGGAGTGAAGAAGATACAAGAAAACCGACGGAACTTGAGTGTTATCTGTCGTCGCTGTAAGTTACGTGTTGTTGCATTGGGGTACATCATTGAAGGAGACTTCCGACCTCGACGTCTACCTTACGAAGAGAGGTGTGTTGTTCCAAGACAAAAAAGTACGCTGCCAATCCACGAGACCTAAGTTTCCAGCTTCGGCCTCTGTTCTTCCACATTATTCCGATGATGAACAACTCGTTACTGACACCAGAATCCCCACCTTCCTTCGACATC